GGTCTGAAGAATCCATGCTGGGACACGGGGCCTGTCAGTTCCAGTGGCTTTCCAGGGGGCTGGGCCACTGTTCTCCCCCACCAGCAGCATCTGCGATTCTGCATTAACCACAGCATCATCAGCGCTGGGTGCTCCACTTTGGCCACCCCCCTGCATGGGCAAGAGCACCAGCTGTGGCTGTGGCCTGCATTCCCCAGACACGTGAGGACGCTGAGCCCTTCTCACGTGCTGTGGGCCACCGGGAGGCCCCTCTCATGAGGAAGTCCCAATGACTCCTCCTCCCCTACACCCAGGGCACAGCTTCTGCTTTGCTGATACAACACGCAGACTGGTACAACTAGGGAGGGGCCACTGTGCCTGGGACAGGCAGGCTCTGTGGAGTGCTTTTAGTGAGAAGATGTGTGGGGCTGTCAGGGGCTGATCATAGTCTTTCCTCGCGCAGGCCTGAGCAGCCGGGGTGGTGGCGCACGCCTGTCGTCCCAGCAGCTCAGGAGGCTGAGGCAGGAGGATCGCAAGTTGGAGGCCAGCCTCAGCCACTTAGCAAGGCTCTCAGCAACTCAGTGAGACCCTGTCTCTAAATAAAATAGAAAAAGGGCTGGGGACGGGGCTCAGGGGTTAAGCGCCCCTGGTATGGGGGGGAAGGGAGCCCAAGCAGAGAGGAACATGGGGAGAAGGGCTGATTGCTCACAGAGGCAGCGAGGAAGGCTGTGTGGTTCTGAGGGGGGCGGAAGGGAGATCGCATTCTGGAGCAGGAGGTGAGACTCAGAAAGAACACGCCCACATCTCCTCGTTCTCCCGTCAACCCGGTTCAGCCTTTACAGCTAGCTCTGAAAACGCCGTCTGCCCTGGCAGCTGCTGAGCTGGGTGAAGGCAAGACGGGTCTCCCACAGAACCAGAAGCGCCCCTGGCTATAGGAGCCAGCCCTCGGACGTCCTCTCCTCTGGTGTCCTAAGCGCCAACATGTCCCTCTCTCTAAACCTGGGACAGGAACCACAAGGTGGGCAGCACTCTGTGCCCAGCGACTGGCATGATCTGAGCAATGCGGAAGTCACCAAGGGCTGCGTGTCCACTAAAGAGGAGGAGGAGGGTGGGAAGGACACTCAAGAGAACTCAACAGGCTGTCGGGGTTCCCTGTGTGCTTTACCCGAACTATGGCTCACCCCCAAACTACTGCACGTGAGTGTTCAAGTCCCCCTTTCAAAGATCAGGAAACTGGGGCTGAAGGACACAAGCATGGCGCTCAGGGTCCCGCGGCTGTCCATCACTGAGCAGGATCGGGCCCGAGTCTGCCAGACCTCACATCCACTTGTCCCATCCTCCTACTCCCCGTGGCTGACCACAGAGGACAGGTGCTGGCTGGCCACAGCCATCAGCGCCACAGGCTGTCAGGGCTGGCTGCAGAGCCACTCAGCACTCCTGCTAGAAGAGGACAGGGGTGCTGGTTCTGGAGAGGCCCAGGGCACCCTGATGCCCAAGAGAGCCGACTCCAGGCATTGGGGGTGGGTCCTTCCTTCTTTTGCTTCCTACAGGAAGTCACCAGGTGGCAGCTGAGCAGAGCTCTGGGGCTGGTGTCCAGCGGGGGAAAGATGGCAGGAGGCTCAGAGACCACAAGGCGGTGCAGGGGGTGGAGGACTTCACCCCCTTGGTCCCTGTGTCCGAGGTACAGATGGAGATGCACCTAGTCGTGAGCAGCGCAGTTCCCAGCCTGCCCGGTGCTGCGGACCAAGGTTGCCCCTGGCAGGCATCAGAGAGGAGCCCGGGAAAATCCAGCAGGGAGGCCCAGGGGTCAGGCCACGTGGGTGACAGAACCCGCCTCGCCTCACCCGGGAGCGCTGCAGGAGCAGGTGCGCACCCTCGCCTGTGCTCATCCACGAGTCCCCAACCGAGGCACTGATTTGCACCAGAAGCCCCTCTGGGCACCCAGCACTGGCGCACAGGACTTCCTCCTCCATCTCTCACGAAAGCCTCTGTATGGCCATCTTATGGGGGGAAGGGACGGAGACCCGAAGGGGAGTGACTGCCCAGGGCAGCGGCGCAGCTTGGCGGCCCTGAGGACGGCAGACCCGGGCTCTAGCTCAGTGCCACAGGCCCTGGCAGCCGCCCTCTCTGACAATCACGGACCTAATGGTGACATGTGATGAACCAGGCAACGCGCTTGGCTTAGCCGTGTGGCAGGGCGTGCGGAACACGTGCTCGGACAGATGACAGGGAAAGGGCCCTGCACAGCGACCTCCATGACCAGGGAGCACCGTGCCACATGCAGGGCGGGGTGTCTGTCCCCTCCAGCGCAGTGGGCCTGGCTCTCTGCAGCCCCCACCTGCTCTCCAGGATCGCATCCTCAGGGGGACACTCCGCAGCAGCCTCAGTGTCCTAAAGCCCCAGACCTCTGCCTCCACCACCCCGAGCTGCCCTCCCACTTTATGTCCTGGGAGCAGTTTTGGGTGCTCGAGGGTGACACAACAGCACTGTCAACGTCCCCCGGAAGAGGCTCCCACGGTCAATTTCCCAACTTAAAAGGAAACGGGAAAAAAGGAAAAAATAAAAAATAAAAAAAAGGAGAGGCGCTGACAGCTGGGGAGCCGGGGCGTGCGCAGAGCTAGCAACGTCAAGGTCCCACGGACTCCGGCGAGAGGAAGCCCAGCCGTAGGAAAGAAATGGCTCATGAAAGAGATTGTTGGATGCTGCGTTCTCCCTCCTCCCAGCCATTACAGGGATAAAATTACCCCCCGGAAAAGATCGAAAACCTTTTTCAAAAACTAATACAATTAGGCCTTGTGATTCTGCCTCTCTCCTCCCAGCCCCACCCGGGATCTCGCTCTCTCCCGCGCCCCTCTGCGTTTCCTGGATGTGGATGGTGGATGGAGGTGCTGTCTTTCTTTATCGTCGCCAGTAAAACGCTGTGTTTAAGAGTCAGAGAGGAGATCGTGTTTTCTGCACCTCCTTCTGGAAGCACTTAATAACTGTTCACCATTAAGGAAGGAAAAGCCCTGGTAGTAAGCTCACATCTGCATGTTGTCAGGAGCCTGGACCCTGTGACAGGGGAGGAGAGAAGGGCTGGCGCAGGAGCACCTCGTCTCCTCTGCCAAAGCCACGAGTGTTTTTAACAAGGAGAGATGGTGGGGGGAGGTTAGAGGAGGAACAAAATGCGGAGAGCCCCCACATACACACACACACAGGTGAGCGTGCTCCCAGCAGCCAAGCGACAGCAACGCACAGCAGGAGACCAAAGCATCGGGCTCACCACCAAGAAAAGAAAAAAGAAGAAAGAATGAAAAGAAAAATCTATGCCGAGGAACATATGGGCAACTGTGGTAATTAGAGCTGAGCTATGGATGGTGGATTTTTTTTTTTTTAACCCACCCTTTCCGGGATCTCAAATCACAGTCCTTGTCATGATAAGCTACAGTCCAACCTGGGTGTGAGGCTGTTCTGAGACTCGCCGGCTCGTTAAGGGCTACGGTGTGAGCAGCGCAGGGGGCCAGCGATCCCGGGTCTCAGGGTGTCGACTCTGGCTCTCCCCTAAATGCCCTGCAGAGTGGACGCGTGCAGGTGGGCGACCGGGGCGGGGCGGGGAGCAGCCTCCCTCCTGGTCCCTGCGCCTGGAGACGCCCAACCCACCTCTGCCAGGCCCCACTGCGGCGAGCCACAGGAGAAGCCCCGCGGAGACCAAGCCCCACGAGCAAACTGTCATCTTCAAAGCTCCAAACCGTGACCAGGGATTGCAAAGACCCGCCCGCCCGCCCATAAAGAGCTCTTGGCGAGCTGGCTCAGGCACGGGCGGGGAGCAGGGTTTTAACCTCCTAATGTCCCTCCCAGGTTATAAGCTGTTTTTTTTTAAAGCTGTCATGATCAACAAGTTACCCCCCCCCCCCAATAAGCAAGTTATCCGATGAGTTTCCGGTGGTCGGCGGCCTTCTAAACAGGGTGAGGAGGTGTCTTTAAGGCTCATCCGCACAGAGCGGGAGTGAGCAGCCTGGTGCACTTTGATCTCCCCGGCTCCCCGGCTCCCCGGCTCCCGCGGCTCCGGGAGGGATCGATAATACAACTTTAATGCATCCGTGGGCAGGACCTCAGGGTTGTTATTTTTACCCAGGGCCGCTCAGCTCCGGTGTTAAGGCAGACTGGGTCTCAGCACCGCCCCGTGGTCACAGTGAGGGTTTTTTTCCCCGTAAAATTGAACTAGAGCAGAGTCAGCCGCGCTCAACCCCAAACGGGCCAATTAAAAACCAATTATCTCCCAAGGCAACTTGTTGAAAGGCTGGGTTTGCCAGGGGCTCCCGGATGCAGGAGAGCGGACCTGGAGGGGGCGGTCCTTAGGGAGAGGGCGTGGTCCTGGGGTGGGGGCGGCCCCAGGGAGGGAGTGGTCCTGGGGGCGGTCCTTAGGGAGAGGGCGTGGTCCTGGGATGGGGGCAGCCCCAGGGAGGGAGTGGTCCTGGGGGCGGTCCTTAGGGAGAGGGCGTGGTCCTGGGGTGGGGGCGGCCCCAGGGAGGGCGTGGTCCTGGGGGCGGTCCTTAGGGAGAGGGCGTGGTCCTGGGGTGGGGGCGGCGCCGGGGAGGGCGTGGACCTGGGGGTGGTCCTTAGGGAGAGGGCGTGGTCCTGGGGTGGGGGCGGCGCCGGGGAGGGCGTGGTCCTGGGGTGGGGGCGGCGCCGGGGAGGGCGTGGTCCTGGGGGCGGTCCTTAGGGAGAGGGCGTGGTCCTGGGGTGGGGGCGGCGCCGGGGAGGGCGTGGTCCTGGGGGCGGTCCTTAGGGAGAGGGCGTGGTCCTGGGGTGGGGGCGGCGCCGGGGAGGGCGTGGTCCTGGGGGCGGTCCTTAGGGAGAGGGCGTGGTCCTGGGGTGGGGGCGGCGCCGGGGAGGGCGTGGTCCTGGGGGCGGTCCTTAGGGAGAGGGCGTGGTCCTGGGGTGGGGGCGGCGCCGGGGAGGGCGTGGTCCTGGGGGCGGTCCTTAGGGAGAGGGCGGTCCTGGGGTGAGCACGGGTGCCCCCAGGGCCAGCGGAGCCTCACCTTCTTCCCGATGCGCTCCAGCTGCTCCCGGTAGAAGGCCTCCCGGCGTCGCTGCTCGGCCTCCCTGCTCTCCAGCTCCCGGGCCTAGGCAAAGGGAGCAGAGCCACGTTAGCCAGCGGCGGTGGTGCCCTCGCGATCGCTGCGGGGAGAGGACACCCGCCATTCCTGCTCCCAGCCACACTCTGGAGGAGAAGAGCAGGAAGGCACAGAGAACCCCGTGCTGTGGCAGGCAGCTCCCATGTGTCATGCCCCAGGCTCACAGCGGCCCTTCCAGGTGGGTACCTGTTAGGGCCATTTTGCAGATGGCGGCCACAACACTGGCTGAAGGCTTATGACCTGCGAGCGCTGCTCTGCGCACTCCTGCAGGTGATCTCCTCCCTCCTTCCAGCTCCCCCGGAGGGGCACGAAGGGGGTCAGGGTCCCCACCCTCTTCAGAGACCAGGACACCGACACAACAGAGGGCCGGGCCACTGCTCAGCTCACAGGGACGCAGAGAGGAGCTGGGGTGTGACTGTGGTCAAGGCAGACAGGAGCCACAGGGTCCAAAAGGGCCAGAGACGGCCGCTGGCCATGGAGCCCTGACACTGGGCACCCTGTCGTGCCACTGTCACGCTCTGGGCCCTCGGGGGTAGGAGTCCCCTCAGGCAGAGAGAGAAGCAGAGACTCCACAGGTGGACTGCCTGGGGGCCCCCCGGTGGCCTCGGGAAGCTTGGCTGGCTCCCCCTCCCCCCACTGTGGTCCTGGACCTTCTCCTCCAATCCTGAGTTCCAGGTTGCTCATCAGTGTCCCTTCCTGACCCAAGGGACTGTCCAGGAGGCTAAGGGAACACTCCCCATCAGGGCAGGGTCCTAACAAGCCTCCACAAAGGGTCCCCAGTGTCATGACACAGCAGAAACACATGCTCTGGCTGGGCGTCCCACATCCCCAAAGCCTCTGACAGGCTCTTCCAGGACCAGGTCCTGAGTGCCACACCCTTGGTCCTCCCTGGGCCGACTCAGCCAGCATCATTGAGCCCAGAGGCTCATCAGGGCCTACAGGGAGGATAGCACCTGCCACCGCCTGCCCCGAGCAGGGGCTGAGCACCACTCACTCCCAAGGGCACCTGGTTCTCACTCTCCCCAAGCGCACAAGCCAGCCACCCAGAGAGGCCACTGTGACTTCATGTCCTAAGCTTTTCCTCTTCAATCACGCTGTGCTGCCACCACCCGGGTGTGTGTCACCCCAAGTACAGGGGAGATGGGGACCGACGGCCTGCCAGTGCACTTCTTCTGCCCACGACGCTCCTGCCGACAAAGTGGTCAGTAGCGGGGCCGATGGCACACCAGGATCCCGCGAGCGCAGAGAAGCACATGAAAGAAAGCTTGGGGGGACGGCCATCCCGTTCCCAGGGGACACTGGGATCCTGCGCTGGGAGGCGGCCTGCCCACTGGATGATGGGGTTCACGCTGGTCTGCCACCAGGGCTCCAGCAGGCTGGAGCAAGCGGCCTCCTTCTCGTTTCCGTCTTACCTACAGACGCGGGGAGGCGCAGTCCCCCCATCTCACCCCCACCACGCTGCGGACTACCTAAACGTGCCAGGAAGGCTCTGGAAGGACCCTGGAGGGCCAGCGGTCAGAGAAGCTGAGCACTGGGACCGAGTGTGGGATCTCTCCCAGGACCCCGCAAAGCGCCAGGCGGCTCATCCGGGCGGCCTGACAGCAGCACTTAACTGTGAACGGTCCCCAGTGCCATCGGCGGACAAGCTCGTCTCATGCAATTAAGCAGCCAGTCCAGGAATACCTCCCAGGGCTGTGGACCTGCCATTTTCTGGCCAGTGGTCCCAATCAGGAAGATGGCAACTGAAAGCAAGACCGTCCTGGGGTTCTTCAGCTGCCACTCACTAGGGGCAACGGGCCCGGGAGGGAGGAGGCGGCTCATCCATGTGTCCAACCACTGTTCAGCTAACCCACTGTGATGGCCCCTATGGGCAGAGGCGCCCCCAGAACACTGGGGCTGCAGCTTGCAGGCCGGTGCCAACTGTGACAGGTCTACGTCAGGAACGGGACATGCAGGAAAGAAGTGCTTGGCAAAGAGGCCCACCCATCGGACCCCTCAGAGATGGTTCACACACAAAAGGAGATACTGGCTGGGCGCGGTGGCACACGCCTGTCATCCAGACAGCTCCAGAGGCTGAGGCAGGAGGATCGCAAGTGTGAGGCCAGCCTCAGCAATGCAGAGGCGCTAAGCAACTCAGTGAGACCCTGTCTCTAAATAAAATAGAAAAAGGGCTGGGGATGGGGCTCAGGGGTGAGGCACCCTTGCTTCAATCCCTGGTTAAAAAAAAAAAAAAAAAAAAAAAAAAAAGAAGAAGAAGAAGAAAGAAAAAAAGAAAAAGAAAGAAAGAACAGAACGGAAGCCTCCTCTTCTATTGGCAGCAGTACGCAGCGCGGCTGGGCGTGGCCAGGGGAGGGCGTGGTCGGGGTGTGGCCAGGGAGGGTGACGGGGGCGTGGCCATGAGAGGGCGTGGCCAGGGGCGTGAGCAGCTGTCAGAGAGGCAGGTCGGTCCCCCAGCTGAAGCGGAGAAGGCCGCCCTATGTCCTGGGGCTCCAGCTACCTCGCTCCGCCCACAGTCCCTGCTCACTCTCTGAGGTATGAAGGAGCCCTCATGACCAACAATGGACAGGTGACAAATGAAAAGGGGTCTTACAAAGTGAATGTGACAGGAAGCCCCGGATGTCGCGACCGGCCCAGAGCAGGTGCTCAGGGTTTGGGGTGGATAAGGCCAACCTACAGAGGGGCTCTACAGCCCTGCAGCCCCGGGAGGTCCCCCACACACAGCGCTCAGCAGGTGTCAGGCTGAAGGGCACAGGCGGGTCTCAGTGACTGACTCAGGGGCTTACCAGCGAGTACCCAGTGTCTGCTCGGTGACAGACGCTACTGTGGAGGGACTGTGGGTATACCAGGGAAACCAGGACGCTTCTGCATCCCGGGGGAGAGCCACGCGTATGTGCACATGAACGGGCTGATGCTGAGAGTGACATGTGCTGGGGACCGCGGGATACAGTGAGCCGTGGGGGTGCTGTTTGTCTAAGGAGTTTGCCAACAAAGTCTCTGGGGGACAACACTGAATTAAGGACGGTGTCTCTACGTGAAGGCGACCATCAGCACTGTGGAGGTGCGCTCACCAGGGCCACCTCTGAACAGGACTTGAAATCTGCGGCCATTGAGCCGAGGACCTCCTCCAGGCAAGACGGCACCCTGAGCTGGCCTTTGAAGCTCGCCTCCGCTGCTCCATACACCACAGAAACCAGGTTCAGAAACCAGATTAAAGTGTTCAACACAGAACAGAACCACAAAGCAGTAGGTGGACCTGGAGCCACAGGCTTGCTGGGCTCTGGGTCTGTGTGGGCCGGACCTCTCCTTAGATGCTGCAGGATCTGAAGCCACTACGCTCTACAGAGGCAGGGGACCTGGAGCAGAGGGCTCTCCCTGAAATAAAAAAAACTAACATAAAAAATTCCTGAAGCCGGGTATGGTGATGCACACCCATCAGCCCAGCAACTTGGGAGGCTGAGGCAGGAGGATCGTGAGTTGGAGGCCAGCCTCAACAAAAGCGAGGCTCTAAGTAGCTCAGTGAGACCCTGTCTCTAAATAAAATACAATATAGGGCTGGGATGTGGGTCAGTGGTAGAGTGGTCCTCAGTTCAATCCCCAGGACCCCTATAAAAAGACTAGAGAAGTCAGTCGATCAGTTACCACAGTACAGGCAAGGGAGGCAGCCCCTGCTCCCGGCACCCATGCCCTCGTGCGGCTCCCTCCCCAGTGTGTGGCTGGACCTAGGAACTTAGAAATAAAGAATATGGCAGAAGTGGTGGGATTGGCATTCTGAGACCTGGTTTTCAAAGACAGTGGTCTCTGCCTGCCTCTCTGCCACCAGCTCTGCTTACTCAAGGGGTGAAGCAGGCTTCTATTTGAAGAGCTGCACATGGCCATGAACTGAGGGCGGCCCCTGGCCAAGAGGCAGCCAAGGGGTAAGTCTTGTCCATCAGCCCCAAGGGAAGGAGCCCTGTCAGCAGCCAGGAGAGGGCCTGGAAGCAGATTCGCCCCTGGTGGAGCCTTCAGATGTGACAGCCCTGGAAGACACCTTGACCACACCACGGTGAGAGACTGCAGGCAGAGGTACCAGCTACACAGCACCCAGGTCCCAACCCACCAGCATAAGACAATAAATGCTGACTGATGGAAGCCACTGCATTTCCTAATTTGTTGTCCAGCAATTAAAAAATGCAAAATGTGAACTGATTCATCTTTCCTTTAAAGGAAAAAGACAACCACTTTGGATAAAAGAAACACAAAGAAAACCCAACTATATGCTCTTTTTTTAAGAGACCCAACTCCCCATACTGATGGTCTTACAGAACAAGAAACCCTTCCACTGCAGATTATATATATGTATGTATTTTGTACCAGGGATTGAACCCCAGGGGCCCTTAACCACCGAGCCCCATCCCTGGTCCCTTTTATAATTTATTTACAGACAGGGGCTTACTGAGTTGCTTAGGGCTTCTCTAAGTTGCTGAGGCTGGCCTCCAACTTGCGATCATCCTGCTTCAGCCTCCTGAGTCTCTGGGATTACAGATAGGTATGCACCATGGCACCCGGCTCACAGATATATACTTTCTGTCAAATGTTTTATGTATACAAAAGATTGAGCATTCACTTAAAAGTTTAAAAATATAAACATACCAAAAACAAAACAAAACACCCAAACCAACAACAACAACAAAAAAACACAATGACCCAATATGGAGAGAGAATATATTCACCAGAACCAGACCACCAAGGGCTCCGATGTTGGAATCGACACAGAGAGAGGTTAAGTAATCATGATTATTAAGATGTTAAAGAATCTAATAAATAAGGTCACTAGCATGTGTGAAGAGGCAGAGGGTGCCCACAGGTGCCGGACACTCGAGTCGCATTGTTTATGATAAGAAATCAGCAGATCATCTCATGAGGATTCCTGACATGGGATGAGTCACTTCTCTCCTGTCACTTTCAAGATCTTTCCTCTGACTCTGCCTTTTGATGGCTTATGATGCATC